AACTATAACTGTGTATGTGGCGCTACGAAATGGTCGGGATGCGATATGAAACAGATGTATATAGGTGACAAATCTGTCGCTTCTGATATATATATATATATATAAACACATACAGAAATACACGAGTGTATGTTAATAGCAGACGATCGAAACAGGAGACAGAAACTGACAAAAGAATGTGAAAATCCCCAGCGAAATTCAGCATAGAAGGAAGATAAAGTTCGAGGCAGTGAACTGAGTAATAATTAGTATAATTTGTAAGTTATTTAATCAAATCTTTAATGTTGCTTGAGAATAAAAACCACCTTTAAGTCCAAAGTGTTCAATTATAAGCTAAATGACGTGCAGAAATACACCATAAATCCACTTCACACGTGTCAAATAATTAAAACTCGAAGAATAAGAAGCCTATTTGGTAATGTTATGAAGTTCGGTGTAAGAATCGGTTAGGATCGAGAGATATGAGAAATCGGTTGATTTTTTGGTAAGTCCATAAGGGACTAAAAGTGTTACCGTCTTTCTTGTTCAGCCGCTGTGGAGTTTGCAGAACCTCCTATGGTTACGAGCGTTATAATCCTAATTACGGACAACAGATGTACAAGGTCGGACAAAAAGGGATCTATTGGCGTGATTTTGAAAAAAATATAAAAGAAGGTCGTTTAACAAAAGACCAGGAGATGTGAGGGTAAGGAAATAAATCGAAAGAGAGGCGAAGGAAGAAACAAAACCAAATTTCCTTATGTGTTATTAATATAGTAATAAGTAAACATTTATTATCAGTCAATTCCTGATAGAAATAAGTACAAACTGAATAAAGTTGAAAGGAAAGCGAAGTTCGAGGATAGCATGATCATAACAAAATAGTGTCACAAACTGAACTATAACAGGCAATTACATGTACTTTCCACCAGAAGAAGAGAGAGAAAAAAAACGAACCCCCACCATTCTGGGAATATTTACCAAATACACCATTTACTTTCAAGTAAATCGACGAAAATTACACCATTCTCTACAGAATCTTCTAAAACTACCGAGAAGTTCATCACGCACCAGAAGAAAATTGACAAATTACCAAGAACTATACTATTCACAACGGAAACAAAGAAACACGGAAAACTACACTATTCGACTGTGGAAGATTGACAGTCCCCCGAGAACTATACTGTTCGCCAATATATGCTGGCTAAACCATTGGTAACTATACTGCTCGCTACTATAAATTTTGCAAACTACCAATAAGAAACACGGAAAACTACACTATTCGACTGTGGAAAATTGACAGTCCCCCGAGAACTATACTGTTCGCCAATATATGCTGGCTAAACCATTGGTAACTATACTGCTCGCTACTATAAATTTGGCAAACTACCAATAACATATATTCGCCAGTATAAACTGGGAAAACTACCAATAACATATATTCGCCAGTATAAACTGGGAAAACTACCAAGTCATTATGATGCATAAATCCATAAGTTACTAGTTTTCTAAGAAAACTTAAATAAACTCAATTATTTATATTAAGGTTTTCTTGCCACCTAAAAACTTTGGCACACGATGGCAGAACATAATGATGATTAAAACCTTTCTGAAGTTGAAAACGTTTTTCTAACAGTCTTGTTTTTGCATGCTTTTGATTTGATTTCAGAACCTCATTAAAATGCTTAGCAGTGACTTGTTTGTTCTTTTGTGAATTTTGAACTATTAAAACAAATGTTTTAGTCTACAGAATCCTTCGTTTTAACCGTTTCATAAAATCTGAATGTGTTTCAAATTATAATATTTTATAGAGTTTATGCTGCCCACAGACCTAGGTAAAACAGATCACATACGAACCTCAACATTCATTCTTATTTTATCGGATATTAGTTAAGAAAGCGAATAGACACGTTAAATTTCAATTTCATTTTGAAAACGATACTGATAATCAAAATGGGAAAGAAGACCAAAGTTTTTTTATCGGTGCCGATGTAAATTTCGTTTGTTCTAGATGGGTTTTCAATATAGAGAGATTGAGTTTCTTCTCACACATGCATATATGTATATATATACATATACTGAATTACAAATGATGTAGATACTGCCCATTTTCAAAAGGCGTTACTGCTAAGAATATTCATGAAACCGTAGCCGAAAAAAAATCAAAAGTTGTTAAATTTTTAACTTTACCCAAACCGAGAAGGAGAATTACAATACATTTTACAAGTCTGTTTATTCGATGTTAACAAACATTTCAGGCTGAAATAAAAGAAAGTGTGAAAGGTTTAAAAAGTTATTTCAAATCAGATATGAGCACTACCAAGTAACAAAAGTTTCGTGATTTCGTGATATTCAGCACCACCCATTGTTATAGTGCTAGTCACGACATAAAGTTTAAACATTAGTTAGAATATAACATTATCGAATATTTTCACAGCAAATTCCAGCCTAAGGAGAAAAACAAAACATCCCTAATGCACGTGCATCTTAATGCGTCGATGCGAAATCGGAAAACCTTGGTATATCACAATAGCGATTTATAGATTATGGTATTCGAATAAGTATATGAAACACATAGTTCGATAACTACATTTGTCAAAATTTCTAACATGGCGACTTTTCTATTACAGTTCTTTTTAAACCAATCACCTTTGGTCGGTCTCTAGGAGTACTCTTCATTGATTATGTTTTCTTAAGATCTTTAGTCCGTGTCCTTTGCTTGTCGTATTATTAGCTTACCTTTGCGAATAAATTTTTTTTATTGTTTTTCTCTATCATAAGTCTTTCTTAAATTTCTAATAAAAGGCAAATGTAACATCAAAAAGTATTATTTTTTTTTGCTGATTATATTTTAACAATTAAAAGAAACAGTGCTTGACAAGGAGTTTAACAAAATTCCATAAAACAATTATAGATACATTATTTTTTTAATTCAACTAAACATTATTTCTAAAATGTTGCACCCAATTCACCAAAGACCTAAAGTTATTACGATAGCTAATTGGATATTGCCACTGGATGACTGATACTCAGTGAGTGCCAGCAACATTGAGAAGTGTAATTATACTGTGATAAACACATTTTCCGCCGTTTTCTTTGACAAAATACCTCCCCCTCCCCCTCCCAGTGGCACAGAGGCAGGCCTTCGGACTTATAATGCTAAAAACCGTGTAGTTTTTGCCTAACTACAAACGGACAAAATCTTTGACAAAAAATTAATTAATTAAAAAATTTTTCATGCTGCAATTGTTTTAGGCAATAACTTAAAACTTTCTTGAAAAATATGAAGAGTGTTAATTAATCTCGAGTTTAGCCCAAAGTATGCTCATTAAACACACCAATTGAAGCCAAATTAATATATTAGATCATATATGGTAACCATAGCAATCTATGAGTAGTTTATTAGCGGTTGGTCAGTAAGAAGTTTTGCGAACTTACAGTGCTAAAATCCGGGATTTGATTCCTCGAAGTGAACAGATCACAGATAGCTCATTATGTAGCTTTGGCATTTTAAATTGTTTTCACTTGGGATATTTCTTCTGTCATAGGTTTTGTAGAAAACGATGATTACCATGTTTCCGAATTAACGAAATCTGATATTCATGCACTTCCTATAATGACAGTTTGGTTGAAGGTATAAACGTCGTACGAATTAGATATCTCTTAAAACTGGACTTAAAACGGTCAAAATGAATTCTCATATATATAAGGCTAATAAAAGAGGAAGAGTAGGGTATTGACGAAACTTAAACGACTTTTTCTTCGACTATAACTGAGGCTTGCGATAGCCACTTAAGAATCAGATCTCTTCTATAAATCCAGAAAAAGAAACTGAAGACAAGTTGACTGACATATTGAACACTCTTCACAAGAATAACGTGCCTACAATCCTCGTTAACATGAAAGCTCTTGCTTCACTAACTCCACCAGATCACACCATCCTGTTTCGTCCTACGAAGAAGCTCATTATATGGATTCCAGACAGTCAGACATTCAGTGCTGATTTACAGCAGGTATCTCTCTCTCTCTTTATCTTTTTATCCGTTCATGTTAACTTGTCTACATTTTTTAATTCATATAAGTACTTCTTGAAAAGAACACTTCATTAACTGCCTTCCTTTGTTCGTTTTCATGGTGGTGTTGTAGTGTACGTTGCATTATTGACATTAATGAATTATAGATATTTAAGTTTTAAAGAGTGTTGATTTTATTTGTTTCATAGGTTATCTTAAGTATCAAAGGTTTGCCTTATCAATACATATTACTATACGAGGTTGTGTGAGTGCTATACATATTATGTACATGATTCTTAAAAATAACGGGGTTTAGTATTGTCTGAGTAACAGAAATTATAAGCTTTAGAAATAAATGAATATTGTTACCGAAAAGTTGATAAAAGACTGCTACAGTTGTTGAAGTGCTGAAATAAAAATATAAACTCCTATGTTTTCCAAGCTGAAAGCCAACTATATAATGTCAGTGAAGACTGTCGTTGTTATACTATTGGTGAAAGTGTATCGCTTGCAGGAACGAATTCTGAAAGAAGCAACTGAAGGTGACAATGTACTGTTGCTAATCGAGGAAAAGGTAAGGAATAGTTTAGCAATGATATTTTAATAGTGGTATAGTAATATAGTCTATAAATTAATTCTTTATGTTTGGGTTAGTATACAATATTTTTTGGTTGAGCGAAGAGCAGGAACGGGTCTAAAAATGTTTAGTGTACGCCCAAAAACGTTATAGTCAGCACGTTTTTAGTTGTTTTATAACAACGCAAGAAACCACCGTCTTTCAATAAACGTAGAAAATAAGATTGGGTAAATGACTCGACTAAATATTGTGTAATGAAATGGTCTAATAACACACTTAAAATGTTCGCATAACTAGTAAGTGTTCTAGTAATTATACAGTTGTAGTTGGAGAAATGACTAGAAAGGTGCAAGACGTCACTTCAGTTTCGTAACAAAATCCAGTAGTGATCTGACCGCTAACTACTTTTCTGGTTGGAGGAAAGGTTGAAACAAAGAGTTAACTTTAGAATGCAAAGGTAGGACTATCCTTTATCAACAAAAACAAGACACACAGTTGAGGATCATCTTTGTGGAATATTTATTAAAGGCAGCCCCCCCCAGTAGCACAGCGGTATGTCTGCGGACTTACAACGCTAGCATCCGGGTTTCGATACCCGTGGCGGGCAGAGCACATATAGTCCATTGTGCAGCTTTGTGCTTAATTACCAATAAACAAATAAACAGTTTTGGAGCGTCTTTTAGATGTATCCTAAGTATATTGTGCGTATTTTAGATGTACGTTAAGTATATTGTGTGTGTTTCAGATGTACCTTAAGTATATTGTGGATAACTTCCAAAGATATTTTAAGGTTATTCACTAAAGTAAGTATAGTATTTTTCAAAAAGATCCGTAATGATTGTTGTTGTTGGTTGTTTTAGAACAAAGCCACTTTGGGCTATCTGTTGTGTTCAAAGCGGGGAATCGAACCCTAGGTCTTAGCATTGTAAATTAGTAAACTTACTGCTGTGCCCCCAGAGACAATCTGTAGGATTTGAGTAATGCATCATAGTAAAAGTGGTTAGTAACTAATGGTGCTACGAAACCGGCTAAATAAAGAAAAGTTTGATAAAGAACAGTCTATATACTACTAAATCTCTGAGATTGTTCGTTTGCTTGTCTGCAATTAAATACAGTAAAAACGGCGCAAAATATAAAAATAGAAACAGAATAAAACAAGTTTTGTGAAACTCGGGCCACGGGTTATCGAGTTAGCGCCGTTTTTCGGGTCACTTTTATGAAAATTTCTAGCATGAGTAATTTTACATCATACTACCGTTCGCGCTATTTACGAAACTTCTTCGTTCAAATCTATTTCCCTGTCAATGTTCCCATCTTCATTAAAAGGCTTAAGATGACAGAAACAAGATCATGAAGAATTTCTCAATAATGTGCCTTGGTTATGGTAGGTAAGGAAATGAGAGCGTTTTCTCTGTCAAATTCTTCATAACCTCTGAATAGTGGGTGACCCAACGGGTCACGGGTGGTCTAGTTTGTTATGAAAAGAAAGATTCAAGTTTTATTCTATGTGTGTATATATATATATATACTATATATAATCGATGTGTACAAGAACTTTTTATTTTTGAGGGTTGTTTGGATTGATGTTAAGCACAAAACCACACAGTGAGCTATCTGTGCTGTGCCAACCACGGGTATCGAAACCCTATTTTAGCGCTATAAGTTCAGAGACTTACCGCTGAGCATTCCAGTGGCTCAGCGGTAAGTCTGAAGGCTTATAACACTAAAATCGGGTTTCGATATCCGTGGTTGGCACAATACAGATAGCCCATTCTATAGCTTTGTGCTTAACTACAAAAAACCCATACAAACTTTCCACTCAACCATCATCTTTGGGAGAAATATTATTCATAAATACGAAGTAATAACGTTATAAAACCCCTTTTGTTTGTCACTCTTTTGGTACTCGTAAATAATGTCTTATGCTATTGTAATATCAATGTAATTTTATAAAGATAAATATTTTTAAATACTTAGGGAAACTCAGTTTTCCTGAAATATTGTTAGGTGCAATCATGCAAATATTAAAACTAAAAATGCGCCTAACAAACACGAACATGCATTTTTTGTCTATTATTCGAATATTCTTTTATTTTAAGGATGTATTGCTCAAACGCAAGAGCTCATTAATTGTTGATCAATATTTATGTCGTTTTTTGTTTGTTTGTTTTTGCAGAGATATATGTATGCTTCACCACCAGATGGCACTGAACCTAGGAAAATTCAAAATTCGTCAAGTATTGCACGTCACATCTTATATCACAACACATTTATTACGAGTTAAAATTTTACTATAGTGAGCCGAACTGACGATCAGAAGCAATTATTAATTCGGTACGGTTTAATAATTGTAAATCTGAAGCAGATAATTAATTAACAAAACTCATCGAGACCACTTCTTTTGAAATTCTTGGTAAACAAAGGAACTCATTTTTAGAAGTGAAACGTATTGGTGATGGCTAGCTTTTACGTATACATACACATTGTAGACATTTGAGAAAGACATTGTTTATGATGTGCACGCTTATCCGTTTATTGAAAGAAATAACCAGAGAAACAACATGTTTTATTTTTTGTCCAACCTTTTTAAATAGTCGTCAGTATACACACACATATATATATAGATAGAGCGGTAGATATATGTATATATATTTCTTTATATATATTTTTTTCTTTTGGTTCTTTGTTTTAGCTCCAAACTACACAATAGACTATCTGCGCTCTTTCCACCGCAGGAATCGAACATCGATTTTTAGCCTTGTAAGTCCGTAAACTCCTCCCAGACAAAGCGGGGGACTTTCATACGAGAACGATAGAAAAACATCGCCGTCGTTTGCTTTATTACGATTACGATACATAATGCTTTGGTCCGGCATGGCCAGATGGTTAAAACGCTCGACTCACAATCTGAGGGTCGCGGTTTCGAATATCCGTTACCCCAAACATGCTCGCCCTTTCAGCCGTGGAGGTGTTATAATGTTACGGTCAATTACACTACTCGGTGGGATTGGCGGTGAGTGGTGACGACTAGCTGACTTCCCTCCAGTCTTACACTGCTAAATTAGGGACGGCTAGCGCAAATAACCGTCGTGTAACTTCGCGCGAAATTCAAAGAACATAATGTTTTTTTGTTATTATTGTCACCTAAATTACTCATTATATTCTGTTTTCTTTTATTAGCGCCATCTAACGTACTCACTCGTGAAGTTGCAGTGGTCACCAAATGGAAAAGGGTTTTTCACGGCTCCGTGTACTTGGAGTTTCGAAGGCAAGCATTGTCGTAACGTCATCAAAACAAGACAGCTACGAAAATTTCAAGGACGTTTATTTTCAGTAACGTATCCTGTAAGTAAGAAAAAGAAGCTTGTAACGTTTATATTGAAGAATTAGTGATAGCAGCAATTAAACGAAAAAACGAAGTTTATTAGTGAAATTATTATAATTCACAAGTGAGGCTTTAGGAAAAGTTATAAGTTATGTATATCGAGTTTATGTTGTCCTTTATAAAACATGTTCAACCTGAATTATTATAGTTATTTGAATATAATGCATTAATGTTAATATCTTATTTCTCGAACTCATTCAGCAGGGCCCGGCATGGTCAGGTGGTTAGGGCGCTCGACTCGCAATCTGAGGGTCGCGGGTTCGAGTTCCCGTCCCACTAAACACGCTCGCTATTTCAGCCGTGGGGGTGTTATAATGTGACGGTCAATCCCACTATTCGTTGACAAAAGAGTAGCCCAAGAGTTGGCGGTGGGTGGTGATGACTAACTGCCTTCCCTCTAGTCTTACACTGCTAAATTAGGGACGGCTAGCGCAGATAGCCCTCGTGTGACTTTGAGGGAAATTCAAAACAAACAAACAAACACAGAGAACAGCCAACGAGTTTATGTCGAGATTTGGAGTTATCATAAAACTATATTTTGATATAATATAGAAATAAGAATCAATGGTGTAATGTGTAAATGAATAAACCTTTCGGAATTAAGAAAACTAGAACAACATTCTATCTTTAGATGGAACAGAAGTTCAAGAGTGAATGAGAAATAGAGGATATAAGACCAAATAGCATATGATTATAGAAAGCTATCTATATAAATCAGAACTAAAAATTAACGCAGTAATTTTTATAGCTAAACTAATTTACAGTTCTTACTTATAATAATTATAAATCATTGGTTCATCAGATGGATCTCATCATTTTTCGCGATAATTTTTACCGTAATCTCAATAATATCTCTCGAGGTTTGATGACCTTAGAAGATTTAGGTTAGTCCTAAATTTGCAATTTAAAACAATAATCAGGATTTATATATATATATAATAAGAAATGAAAATAATAAACATATAGATATCATGTATAGTAAAACCTTTTATCAAATACTGTTAATTAAACTGATATTAAAGAAGAACAGAATATAAATTACTTACAAAACTCATAAAAACTAGTTGGTGTTAAGTTTTCCAATAAAAGAATCTCTGACCCTTGAAATCAAAATGAGGTACTGAACCACAAAAAAACTAGTTGTTAAGTTTTCCAATAAAATAATCTTTGACCCTTGAAATCAGAATGAGGTACTGAACCACAACAAAAGCAGTTGTTGTTAAGTTTCCAATAAAAGAATCTCTGACTCTTGAAATCAGAATGAGGTACTGAACCACAACAAAAGTAGTTGTTGTTAAGTTTCCAATAAAATAATCTCTGACTCTTGAAATCAGAATGAGGTACTGAACCACAACAAAACTAGTTGTTGTTAAGTTTCCAGTAAAATAATATCTGACCCTTGAAATCAATATGAGGTACTGAACCACAACAAAAGTAGTTGTTGTTAAGTTTCCAATAAAATAATCTCTGACTCTTGAAATCAGAATGAGGTACTGAACCACAACAAAACTAGTTGTTGTTAAGTTTTCCAGTAAAAGAATATCTGACCCTTGAAATCAGTATGAGGTACTGAACCACAAAAGGTGAAGCTGCAGGATACAACCAAGCATTCTTCGTGTACGGTAAGGAATCGAAGGTGCTGTAGGACACCCATGTGCTTAATAATGAATGCGATGATACAAAATAAGTCTAACCAAAATACACTATGTAGGTAAGAGACACCACTGATACTGTTCATAAGTACACATACAAAAAGTTTGAATCAGCTTATGACATGATAAATATATGGATAGATGTTAAGACTAGAAAGCCAGGGATCCAGCAGAATAATATAGAATGGTTATACATTCCAAAGGTGAGTAACAAATACTATATCTCTAAGGTCTAATCGATCTTGTTATAGCCCTTATGCAGCAATAAATAGCGTCAACAAAGTAATTTATCATGTTTCAAAGAGTATGAATACTGGTCCAGAGACTGTAATTTAACAGCTGTGAAAGACCATGAAAAAGTTCAGCTCGTTGGTCATCTACGGAAAGGAACAGACAAGATAAGCGTTCTTGAAAAGAGAAATAAATAAATGAACTACGCTGTGAACTCCAGGTACTTTCAAAGGCAGATTTAAACCTCTGAGGGAGAAGAATTTAACCAAAAGTTACAGTAATGTGACAAAACGTGAAAAAAAGTCAGAATCACGAAGTCGAAGGGCTCGAGTATAATGGTAGCTGGTAAGATGAAAATTATTCACAATAAAAGACTGCTCCACTCAATCTTCATGAGCGATGAATAATTATGAATATTTCTTCAAGAAATCTAACAATTCGGGGATAGCGTTTACTGAAGTATGTCATATTGTTATTTCATTTTTTTGTGACAAATTTCAAAAAGTATCATATAATTGTTCAACAAACACTGTTTGTAACTTTTATATTCCATGATGTTGGATTCACAAATTAAAAAGTCAAGTTGAGACAGTCTGAATTCAAAGTACCAAGTGACTGGTTAAGAGAATGCTGCGAAATCAATTATAAAACTAGAAAGGCCTTGTAAACGTTACATTAGTTATATAGGCCTTGTAAACGTTACATTAGTTATATAGGCATTGTAAACGTTACATTATTTATATAGGTCTTGTGAATGTTACATTATTTATATAGGCCTTGTGAACGTTACATTATTTATATAGGCCTTGTGAACGTTACATTATTTATATAGGCCTTGTGAACGTTACATTATTTATATAGGCCTTGTGAACGTTACATTATTTATATATTATAGCTGTGATAAAAATATTAACTGTTATGGTGTGTATGCCTTTCACAAACTGGTGTAGAATTACTACAACTATACTTTTCATTAGACATTAGTATTAGTTCCATTACATTGTTTATTTAGTTCCTTAGGGATTTTCAAGAATTAAAAGAGTGAATAACAGCTTGTATAAGTAACGTTCGGACCATTACTTTATTATCACTTGGCGAAACAGCGGCAAGTTTACGGATTTACAACGAAAATCCAATGTGTCTTTACTTTAACAAACAAACAGAAACAACAACAAGAAAAGCTACTGAGTTTGCTGTTTCCCAGCCGATTTGAAAAACTCTGGATTGAACGAAACGCGTGGTTGACAATTGATATGACAAATGTAGTGTGGTTGTACTATTATTATTATTATAATGCATTCTTCTAATTCTTGAATGTCACTATTAACTTACTAAATAAAGAACGAAGTGTTTAAAAATGTAATAGGCTTCATACTAATATCTTATGACAAGTATAATTGTGATTTAGATAGGATAAGCAATTGGAACGCCAGTGAGGCGACTTAACTTAGTTATTTGAAATCTCGGGATTTGTTTTGTAATAAATTAATTATTCATACTTAATATCTTGGAGTTTGGAATTAATATGGAAATTAGTTATTTGTAATTTTACCAGTGAATAATTTTTGAACACATATTTCAGCCATCCAAGATTCATAAAAAAAATCCATTAAAGGCCTAATGGATAATAATATATTTTGAAATCTATAATAATTGTCACGACATGTGTCACGGAAAACTAATGACAATAACAATTTTTTTATGAATTTAATCTTGCAATTTCCATATTCAATAGCTTGTACACGAAAAACTCATTTCACGCACACATATACGTAAATAACTAAACAGGCATACAAACTAAAACTTATTGTGTAAGTAAAGCCACACCTATCCCAAAAGCAAATCTCTAATCGATAACAATAGCGTGTAGTTTTATACAGCACTATATATCCTGTACTTTATATCCCCGAAAAGAATTTTACATGGCTTGAATTCATACATAGAAACATACAATATAATTCATT